AGGACATTTGGTGGATATCAAATGATATCAACAGCTAGGGCTTTTGCCAAAAGAAAGCTGAGACAGATCACGCTAAGTGATGAGACGAGCGGACTGTCCTCAGGTGCTTGCAACATCATGAATGGTGCGAGCCAGGCGGACGGTACTCTACTTGGGCGTCAGGTAAGCGCTCCCGTATGACTGCGGACACTCATTCAGACTGCTCCGATTGATGTGCTCGGGTCGTCGCAATCATGCAATATTCTTTTTTTACCAATTGTCACTGGGGGGTGCCAGCCATTATGGACCCCCCTTACCGCCAGCTGCGGTGACGGATGGGCTTGGGGGATCTCGATTTGGCAATCCCTCCCAACAACGACAGAAGCGGATCCTTCTCGTGTTGAGCGGATCATACTTGGAAGCAGGTCAGGTCTGTCCAATGTTCTTCGCCGGTCAGCCCGTTTACGACTTTGACAAGCGGCGGTCATAGAAACCGCAGGACTTGGCACGCAGGTTTTCTGCTTGGACTCCCCCAACGTGTTCTCGGTGAAGTCAGCGTTTGGAGTGACACGCGCCGGTCCATGGTCCAATGGATTGGACCAAATCATACAACATCTACCAGCACCTTCCAACAGGTCTCCTCTGGAGGCTTTGGTAGACTTAAAAGGCGCAGGTGGTGACCTGTTGGAAGGTGCTGGTACGGCTTTGGGTTTGGGTCGCCCTGGGTTGGTTCAGACTGGAACCGAACCGATCCCCAAGACCTTCCTGGGTTGCCAGATTGTCCATCACTCATATGTGGTCATTGCTGCATCTCAAGCTATCCAATCAGAGAAATTCCGGAGACTGCAACTAGGCACGAGATGGCAGAGGCACTAGTCACTAGTATATAATTAGAACCTGAGTCACCACTGTTTTGGAGTGGTCTTTTCCTATCAAAACAGAGGTCCTATGGGTTCTAATTCTAGATTTTTTCTATTCACGACACCACCAGTGGTTTGCATGTGGGATTTCAACAGGCCAGAGGTCCGCGGGGGATCCCAACGGTTCGGACTTGGCTTCTCGACCCCGAACTCGACCCCGAACGCATCGCCTACCTGGCGAGGTGGCGGCGATGGTGGGCTGGGCTCCTGGCTTCACTGGGCTCTTCTTGCTGGAAGCCTCACCGGGCTGCTGGTGGCCATCACTCATGCTGCTCTGTCTGCGGTGAGGTGGAAGGTTTCCCGAGTTCGGGGGTGAAGCCCTTTCTGGGGAGGAGGTTTTGTTATGGTGTTTGATTCTGGGTCAGTCCTGACGCCACTGGTCGCGAAGGATGGGGAGGTGGATTCCTGGATTTCCAGCCTTGGCACTTGGCACGGACGCGATGCGTAGGATCTCCATGACCGAGATTTTCCCAATCAACGCGCAGAGGTTGCCGAGCTTAGTTCGGTTCCATCACTGCGTTCTGAACGGTGCTGCGATGAACTGTCCCACTACTTGGGCAGTACTTGGGGAGGGACGTGCACATTCCTCCCCCACAACTGTTGGTTTGCGTCTTTCAAGTGCCGGACGTCGTCGCTCCGTTTCCCCCCTCGCTGTTTGCAAGACGAGACCCCCGATTCTGAGTGGAAGAAGGAAACAAAGGACACAAAGGTCGCGGCCAAGTTGGCCCGGTTCAGGGGCTCACCAGCTGCATGACCTGGTGCGTTTGACTTCAAACCAGCTCGTTGCTCGGAAAAAGAAACCATTCGACATCGACAGACACTTAGCTGACTTAGCTCGTTCCATGCTGTGCTGAGGTTGCTTTTGATCCTCTTTTCCACGCTAATGCCGTCCGGCTGTGCTGGGGAGTCGAAGGTTGAGCGCCGCGAGCTGCCGGGGGAGAGCGCCAGGGGTCGGGCCATGCGACTCCGTCTCACTCGAGCCACTCATGTTGACTATTCATTAAATCACGAAAGGTAGCTTGAGCTACCTGAGTTCTCCTTGCTTTAGCAAAAATGTATTACAATCAGGAGTTGGGATTGTGCATTGAGTTTGGTCTTGTAAGAGATGATTCCTAGCACTTCCAATGGGTGCCCAGTCCGTAAGGTAGGCCTGATTCCGTAAGGTAGGGTAGTCTAGCCAGGACACCCAGACAGGATGACCCTGGTACCTGGATGCGGACAAACATCTACATTTACATATGGCTACTTTACATGGAGGTTTTTCGTCATGCAGGCACATATGGAGGCCACATATGAGTAACACCTATGGACTTTTTCGTCATTCGTCAGTCTACTTTAGAGGCTAACATTGCTGGCACGACCAGAAACGGGTCCCCCTTGGATGATGGCTTTGGTACGCATTCTTTTACTTGCAACACCACCGGTGGGTGTTATTTACTAGGCCAAGGGATCGATCAATTGGAAGAGTCCGGGCTTGGACATGGAGGGCTTGGACAGTTTGGGAAGTGGGGCTGGAGGCTCTTGCACCAACTCTCATCTTGCACCATCGATTCTTGAACAACCTTCGCCGCTGGAGGACGAGTAGCCGTTAGTAACTAGCCGTACACCGTGGAAACACGGAGGGCCATGTTCGTGGGAAAAGTGTCCCGCGACTAGGCTGGCGCGAACTCGAGGACCCCCCAACAAATCCCATGGGGATTCCTTGTTGCGGTGACCTGGGACACCTGCTCGATCTTCCGCCTAGGTCGATCCTCGGGCTGCTCTACACGGACAACTTTCTCGAGGACTTACATTGCATGATTGCAGCCTGACGGCCCGGCAAAGACCGCCGGCCACGCATCGGTCGGAGCGGCACGGAGCGATGAAGTCGAAGGTACAAGTGGCCCCAGAAGGTCTTCCCAGAACCAGAACAGTTTGGTTGCAAACACTTGGGGAGATGTCAATTCCAAACGATTTCTTGTTCCAGCCGCATTTTGCGATTTCAAGACACACACACACACACCCAGAATACCGAAAGGGTTGCAAAAGACCCGTGGCACTATCTACTTTTCAAAAGTTCTCATGACACACACACATAGGCATATACGCAGTTATATACATTTATCTAATGTATACATAGTTAGTACATAATGTACTGTTTAGAATGTTGCTTGCACATGACATGTTTCATAGACAGAGTAGTACACATACTGATCCCCACTACTACTCGACCGATGTGCCGAACAGGCCCGTTTGAAGGTGTTCATGTTGGAACACCAACGTTATGTGATAGAGGGCAAACGTCATTTGTGGCGAAAGGCTGTTCCAACGTGGCAGGTTCAGAACCTGCGATTTCCATGAGGCGCCCCTACAAGAAGCTTCTCTCCAATCAAGCAGCCACCAGTCACTGAAGAGGCCACCAGTCAAGCCACGAAGGGCCGACCATGGCACCGACCTTTCTTCTACCTTCCAGCAGCATATGTTCCTGATGCTTTTCTGTCCGCTCAAAAGGCGCCCCAAAACCGAGCTCCACCCTTTTGCGGCCCCCTTTTGCGGCCCCCTTTTGCCCGGGACGTTGGCCATCCTTGCAAAGGCGAGGCCCAAACCGATTGTTCTCTTTGAACGGTCGGTCGACGGCGCCCAAGCGGCCCAAAAGGGGCGGCAGTGGCTGGCTCCGTGGCTGGCGCCAGAGCCGGGTGTAGGATGGTACACTGGTACACTCCACCAGGACGGCTTTTTGGGGGTTCCCTTTTTCCCCAAACAGTGTGGACACACTAAGGGGTTCTTACGGTAGGAGTAAAGCAGGTGTGCTTAGATCGCTGTTCCGCGCGGGCGTGTGCGGCTAATTCGCTGCTATTTATAGTACATTCATGCCTCTCGACATCATCAATGTGTATTTCGACTGCGCAGGCTCGCAAAATCTGGGGGCCCGCGGCGGGTGCTTCTAGCAACTGCGCTCTCGTTGTGGTGCCGCGCGCATTTTCGTACATGGTGGTCACTTTTCGTGGCAGGCGCAGGTGAAACCTCGTGTTTAGGTGCTCCAAAGTCGACTTTTCGTGACAGGTGCAAGGGATCGGAGGTGTTTTACTTCGAGCTGCAGTTTTCCTGGCAGGTGCAGCACTTTGGACATGGTGGTGATCGTCGAGCAGCTCAGATTTCGTGACAGGTGCAGTGAGTCGTGACTTTTGGACATGTGGCTCGTTTGCAGACTTCGTCACCGCCACCGTCGCCACGATCCCCACCTTCATCAGCACCATCACCTCTCTGGACCCCAATGGGCTTAGATCTGTAGACTTCCTGCTCATAGACATCACACACACTGTTTGGGGTCTCTTGCTGGGATAACTTGGATTCGAAGAGTGCGACGCGGCCGCCCTGCACCCTGGACCTCCGCCGACCTGCTACTCTCGCCCAGATGTGCCCGGCACAGGGCGGACAAAGCGCTTCGTGATCGGCTTAAACCTTTCGGCTCCCGAAGCAGGCGGTTTTCTGTGTCACACTGCCATTGAGCGCAGCATGCCCTTTCGAAGGTCGCTCTTGCCCCAAGGGATCCGACTTTTCAAAGCATCAAGGCAGACTAATTAGTCTTTCTTGGAAGGTTCATTTACAGCCCGTTTTGGGCTCCTGCTGGCTCAAATGGCCAAAGACCATTCTATTGGCCAAAACCTGACGTAATATACATGACCATTTGGGAATTGAGCCAAGAGTCTTCAGGGGGATGACATGGTATATAGTATAATATATACCAGGAGACCCTATGGGGTGCCAAGTGGTGATGAGGGGTGACACCCCTTCGGGGTCTCCTGGTATAGTAGGTTTGACCTCACACTCAGATTGATGAAGTCTTACAATTCGGGGACTCGACGTCCCGAGAGTTCCCCGAACCGCTGAGCCATCATCCCCATGCAGTGTGCCGCCCATCCTGTTGTTTCCAGTTTTCTTGAGCAAGGGGCAAGTGCTGAGAGACACTTGAGTGAAATACGATCCAATACGACCAAGAGTCACTAAAAAGAATCCAAGAGTCCAAGCAGGCCAACGCTTCCAAGACCTCCAGAACTGGATTGCAGATATGAAACACGGGATCTCAACCTCTCGCACCGTCCTTCCCTTTCTTCCACCGAGGTGGGCTTCGCCGTGGCCAAGCACAAGGACCAAGTCCCCGAGACGCTCCTCGAGGTGCGGTTTTTTCCGGTCGCACTGGTCGGTCGACCCGGGCGCCGTGCTGCGGCGTCGAGAACTTGCTGCATTGCAACAATGGGGGCATCATCTCAAGCCAATTGGCTATGGCTGTGCCCCTCTGTAACAGTCCAAAGACACTATTTCTACTCACTTCCCAGCAAAAAGATCACTGTTGAACACCAGCCTGATGTTTGTACTGGGCTGCTGCTGCTGCTGCTGCTGCTTTCAAAGTAGGCTCGCCAACACAGCCCAGTTGGAGGTTGTTTTCCTGCGTGATGATCAGATTGCTTTTTCTGTTATCAATCCATCCACCCATCATTCAGTCATCCACCAGAAAACAGAAGATTTGTAGATTGCTGGTGATTTTGGGAGATATGTAGATTGCTTCGAACTTTTGAGCAGTATTATTAGACATGTCCCGAGTGGTGGACTGTTTGCCCAGCCACCATCGTTGAAACCAGCGGATGCCAGTGGTGGACTATTAGTCAGACTGAAAGAGCTCATGCTTCAGGTCGTGAAAAACAAAACATGACGAACTCTGAAGAACTCTGTTTTTGAAGGACTTCTTTTTGAGCGTTTGTTCTGATCCCTTGATGGTACCGGTACCTCCCGTTCGCCAAGAACGCTCCCCAGGTGGAGGCCACCGCGGCGCCAGGTCCGGGACCCAGAGCGATGGTCGTGTGACCTTCGTAAAGCAAGGGGTGGTGAGACGTAAGCGCTACACATGGTGGGAAGCCTAGGGCTTTGGTGTTTGCTTCACAGATGTGAGGCACCCAAAAAGGCACCCAAAAAGGCACTCGTAAGGACCTCGAAGCAGGGAGATTTGGCAACGTGAATGATCATTTCCTGCAGAGGTGAACCACCCGCGCGCTGGTTGATGGTTCTCAGGGGGTCACCATGAATGGTGGGGCTCCAGGACCTCTCATTTGCGAACCCTGACATGTCGACTGTGCTGTAACCGCACCCAGCTCTTCGCACCGCAAAAACACAGACAGACATTCGAGATCAAGTACCCTCTGACTCACTCACATGGAAGGTGATGGTACCACCTGTATGGTGTTCGAGTTCATAGTCATCCAACCGGCCATGCCATCTACCTACATGTGACGTGTTCGTCGGAGTGTGTGTATGGTGTGACTTTCCAAGCTCTGAGTAACCGAAAGGCCTAACGAACGACGGCTACATAATGCAACGCAGACGACTTCTGATTCCAAAGTGCGCACACACACAGACATGCACAGAGAGCACACAGCCCCCACCTGCCACACGTGTGATTTGGTGGAAAAGACAGACCCAGTTCGAAATGGTGCGGTGTGGAATTATGTGGGATGTAGAAAGAGAGATGCCCTCCAACCAATGGGTTTCTTGTCAATCTCTCTCTTTTTATGTATACGTATATACACAGTATATGTTTGTTTATTCACACACACACACTATTATTGTAATATAATTATCATTATATATATTCTTATCAAAGGAAGTTTAGTGTACGAAACTTCCGTGTTACGGACGTTCAAGAACCAATCATACACCACTCATCATACACCACTCATCAATGCACAACTCATCATACACCACTCATCATACACCACTCATCATACACCACTCATCAATACACCACTCATCAATACACCACTCATCATACACCACTCATCATACACCACTCATCATACACCACTCATCAATACACCACTCATCATACACCACTCATCATACACCACTCATCATGCACCATTCATCATGCACTACTCACTACTCGTCATCCAGTTTACTCTAGCTCCAGTTAGCTCTAGTGTCAATAGCTTTAGCTCCAGTTAGCTTTCAATAGCCCTAGCTCCAGTTAGCTGTAGTTTCAATAGCTCTAGCTCCATGTGCAGATTTCGTGGCAGGCGCAGCACTTTGTGAACCTCGAGGTGCAGATTTCGCGGCAGGCGCAGCACTTTGTGAAGCTCCATGTGCTGATTTCGTGGCAGGCACAGCACTTTGTGAACCTCCATGTGCAGATTTCGTGGCAGGCGCAATACAAAATGCGTTTTCGAGAGATAGCGGATGCACGAAATGCTGCATTTTGCAATAGAACCGGTGGCTTCGAACCTGGCAAGTCTAGCTCTGCGGAACGACGGTTGCGAGACGGTCTCGGGTCATTCTCGGGTCATGTCGGGTCATGGTCGGGTCATGCTCGAATCGTCCCTCCATTGTGGTTAGAGTTTTCATCACTTGTTTCTTGAAGTGCAGATTTCGTGGCAGGCACAGCACTTTGTGAACCTCCATGTGCAGATTTCGTGGCAGGTGCAGCGCTTTGTGAACTTCAAGGTGCAGATGTCGTGGCAGGCGCAGCGCTTCGTGAACCTCCATGTGCAGATTTCGTGGCAGGCACAGCCCTTTGTGAACCTCGAGGTGCAGATTTCGCGGCAGGCGCAGCACTTTGTGAAGCTCCAAGTGCAGATTTCGTGGCATGCACAGCGCTTTGTGAACCTCCATGTGCAGATTTCGTGGCAGGCACAATACAAAATGCGTTTTCGAGAGATAGCGGATGCACGAAATGCTGCATTTGCAATAGAACCGGTGGCTTCGAACCTGGCAAGTCTAGCTCTGCGGAACGACGGTTGCGAGACGTCTTGGGTCATTGTCGGGTCATGGTCGGGTCATGCTCGAATCGTCCCTCCATTGTGGTTAGAGTTTTCACTTGTTTCTTGGTGCAGATGTCGTGGCAGGTGCAGCACTTTGTGAACTTCCATGTGCAGATTTCGTGGCAGGTGCAGCACTTTGTGAACTTCGAGGTGCAGATGTCGTGGCAGGCGCAGCACTTTGTGAACCTCCATGTGCAGATTTCGTAGCAGGCACAGCACTTTGTGAACCTCGAGGTGCAGATTTCGTGGCAGGCGAAATACAAAATGCGTTTTCGAGAGAGAGCGGCTGCGCGAAATGCTGTATTTTGCAATAGAACCGGTGGCTTCGAACCTGGCAAGTCTAGCTCTGCGGAACGACGGTTGCGAGACGGTCTCGGGTCATTCTCGGGTCATGGTCGGGTCATGCTTCAATCGTCCCTCCATTGTGGTTAGAGTTTTCACTTGTTTCTTGGTGCAGATTTCGTGGCAGGCACAGCACTTTGTGAACCTCCATGTGCAGATTTCGTGGCAGGTGCAGCGCTTTGTGAACTTCGAGGTGCAGATGTCGTGGCAGGCGCAGCACTTTGTGAACCTCCATGTGCAGATTTCGTGGCAGGCACAGCGCTTTGTGAACCTCGAGGTGCAGATTTCGCGGCAGGCGCAGCGCTTTGTGCAGCTCCATGTGCAGATCTCGTGGCAGGCCCAGCACTTTGTGAACCTCCATGTGCAGATTTCGTGGCAGGCGCAGCACTTTGTGAACCTCCACGTGCAGATTTCGTGGCAGGCGCAGCACTTTGTGAACCTCCATGTGCAGATTTCGTGGCAGGCACAGCACTTTGTGAACCTCGAGGTGCAGATGTCGTGGCAGGCGCAGCACTTTGTGAAGCTCCAAGTGCAGATTTCGTGGCAGGCGCAGCGCTTTGTGAACCTCCATGTGCAGATTTCGTGGCAGGCACAGCGCTTTGTGAACCTCGAGGTGCAGATGTCGTGGCAGGCGCAGCACGTTGTGGAGCTCTATGTGCAGATTTCGTGGCAGGCACAGCACTTTGTGAACCTCCATGTGCAGATTTCGTGGCAGGCACAGCACTGTGTGAACCTCCACGTGCAGATTTCGTGGCAGGCAGGCACACCACTGTGTGAACCTCCATGTGCAGATTTCGTGGCAGGCACAGCACTTTGTGAACCTCGAGGTGCAGATTTCGTGGCAGGCGCAGCACTTTGTGAACCTCCATGTGCAGATTTCGTGGCAGGCGCAGCGCTTTGTGAACCTCCATGTGCAGATTTCGTGGCAGGCACAGCGCTTTGTGAATCTCCATGTGCAGATTTCGCGCCAGGCACAGCGCTTTGTGAACCTCCATGTGCAGATTTCGTGGCAGGCACAGCACTTTGCAGATTTCGTGGCAGGCACGATGCAAAATGCATTTGTAGTACAACTTTAGTACGCGGAGTATCTGGGGAGCTGGAAGCTGAGAACTGGCGACTTTGGAGTACAACGCGGAGTATCTGCAGAGCTGGAAGATGAGAACTAACTGGCGACTTTGTAGTGCAACTTTAGTACGCGGAGCAATCTGTGGAGCTGGAAGCTGAGAACTG